TGCTTTTATTTTTACATATACATTTATAGTTAGTTAGCTAAACAAATTTGATAGTAAATTATTTGAAAAATAAAAAAATAAAAAATATACAATGTTTATTCAGATTTAAAATATATAAATACATAACTTAAGCTAATAACAAAATAAATATAATACTCATTTATATAATAAAAATAATTTTATTATATTAAAAATATATACAAAATTTAGAAAATCCCGCGTACCTAGTATTATAATAACAATCCTTGATGAAAACATCTAAAAGCAATAAATCATCAATGTCTTTGGATTTGAAAATATCTGAAAACATGTAATATTTGACGAAAACATTTGAAAACATCAATATTTTCGAATTTATAAAAGAACATTTGAAAATATGTAACGTTTGATGAAAACATTTGAAAACATCGATATTTTCGAATTTTAAAATATCTGAAAATATGTAATCCTCAATTAATACATCTGAAGATATCGTTGTTTAGCTGAGTAACCCTGGGCTTTCGTTTAAAATAATGTAACATATAGGCCGAATTGGCCCATTAGGTCGGTTCAAAATTGAAATTGGCCCAACTCGATCCGATAGATGATCCCATCAAAACGCCGCGACAAAACTCCGTCGCTGGCTGAAGCATCTTCACCGGTGGTGGTAGCTTCTTCTCCGACCCGGCTAAATATGCAGATCCGTAACCCTACACGGCCATTGTTAACCTCAATTTCTTCTAATTCTCACTTCTCATGCTGAAATCTTTCTCTCTTAGTGCGAAAATCAGGTATCGTCTCTAGTTCTAAACCCTAGATCTCTCTCCTCTCTCTCTCTCGCTCCTTTTGGTTTCTCTGAAAATGGGTGACAGCGAAGATGAAACGGGATACCCAAAGAAGTTCTACCCTCTGAATCGGCAAAACCATCCCATGTATAGCCGACCAATTTCCAAACGCCACGCGTATTACCACGAGGAAGAAGACGACCAGGAAGACGACGAAATCGAAGAATATCGCCAGGTCGAGGAAGAAGAAGACGAAGAAGGCGGATACAGTCGTCGTGGGAACGAGAGGTTTCGGAAGAGGCAGAAACCAAACAAACCGGGTTCCGGTTACGAGTTCGCCGGTCCAAGCGACGCGAAGGTCGCTTACGATTGGAGAGAGCAAGAGGCGTTTGTGCTGCTGGAAATCTGGGGAGACAGGTTCTTGCAATTGAACCGGAGGAGCTTGAGAAACGAAGACTGGAACGAAGTCTCTGAGAAAGTCAGCGAGGAGCTGAGATCGGAGAAGTCTGAGACTCAGTGTAGGAGGATGGTTGATAATCTGAAGAGGAAGTATAGGAAAGAGAAGATCAAGGTTGAGAAATCTGGACTGGGTTCGAGCAAGTGGTCGTTCTTCAACAAACTGGATATGCTTCTTGGCTCTTCTCCCAAATCGGAGCTAGGTCTAGCTTGTGGTGTTGATTCAGGAGAGTTTGTGTTTATGAACACTAAGGTTTACTTGGATAAGTCTAATGGGTTTGATGAGATGATGGATAGCCCTGGTGATTCAGAAGAGGATGACAATGATGATGGTGACGATGATGTTGAGGTTGATAATGAGAGGAAGAAGATGAATGATGCTGCTTCGTATAAGCTGTTGGCTGATTCGGTTGAGAGATTCGGGAAGATTTATGAGAAGATGGAGAAGAGTAAGAAAGATCAGGTGAAGGAGCTTGAGAAGATGAGAGCTGATTTTCAGAGAGATTTGGAGTTGCAGAAGAAACAGATTGTGGAGAGAGCTCAGAGTGAGATTGCTAGGCTACGTGAAGAGGTGGAAGAGAATCATGGTGATGATGATGATGATGATGATGATGATGGGAGTGAAGAAGATGAGGCAATGGCGAATGATTCTGATGTGAATCTTAGTGATGAATGAAGTAATAATAATTACTAGGTTTGTTTGTCTGTTTAAGATTCAGAAACTGGTAAGTTATGTAAACTCGTGTTTTGATGGTTACAAGTTTTTATTTTAAATGGATTATTAGATTATTTAGCCAAAGACCATTTTCCCTCAAATCTATGATGATGCATTATATTATATTTTCTTGTTAAGCATTTGTACAATCAATCTCTGTGTTTGTAGCTTTTTGAAAGAAATGAATGACGTTAATAAAAGCTTCTGAAAACTGAACAAATGCTTATGAAGACAAGTGGTTGTGCTTTGGATCAGTTGGGTTAAGATGGATGCTGTCCGGTTTAATCAATAAAACAGAGAATTACGACCAGAGGCAGAGTATAAAACACTTGTTTGACACAGAAAGAGGATTTGAGCTCATGCAATGAGCAAAACTCGATAAGTTCTTCAGCAAAACTCTTGACCTAGTTTTCATTTTCTTCCATGGCTTCTTCGTCAAGGCTTTGGGAAAAGAGTTCGCCGTCGCTGCCTTCGGAGGTAGTAGAAGAAGAGATACTCGAAAGAATTCCGACAGAGGATGTGATACGATGCAAATTGAAATGCAAGGAATGGTACAATCTCTTTAGGGAGAAGAGATTCATCTACAAACACTTGCATCTCTCGCAAGAACTGTTCATCCGGATCAATCGAGATAACGTTGAAATCATCAATCCGGTGACACTTGATATCTGGAGAGCCTTTCCCGCTACTTTGGAAATGGTTTGTGCATCCGTTGACCCAACGTGTGTGTATGAAGGGGAACATGTACTGGATTGCTAGATCCAGGAGTGATTCTCAACGCTTCATCCAAAGTTTGGACTTCTCCATGGAAACATTCAGGCCCATTTGTTCTTCCCTTCCCGTTAAGGTTAGCAGTTTCCGCCGTAAGTCTCTTGATATATAGTCTTGTCAGGTTTCAGAGGAGATAGGCTTTCATTATTACATCAACACCGCGTTGGGGAGATCAAGATCGAGGTGTGGGTCACAAACAAGGTGACCAATGGTGCTCCTGTCTCATGGACTAAGTATTTTAATGCCGCCTGTCACGGTTATCCCACATACTTCATCCACAAGACCAATGGTATCATGTTATGGTGCGATAAACTTTTGCTAGAGGATGATGATAATCATGCATGTGTTTGCTTTTACGAAATTGCTGAGGGTGAGATCAGGAAACAAGTTGAGACAGGACCACCGTTTATAGATGTTTACGGTCACCGATATTGTCGTTGTGCCTCTGTTTACGTTCCGAGTCTGGTTCCGGTTCCAGAGTATAGAGATACACAAAAGAGGCTTTGTGAGTGTTTGTTCTGTCGCATGAGAGAGTTCGTTGTATTTTTTGTAAGCTTTTGTCTTGGTCTTTGTTTTGTTATTCTTGTGTTGGATATGCTGGATTCAAAAACTATGATGATACTTGTTCACTTGTATTTTATATAATTAAAATGTTTCGGCAACTAGATTCTTACACAGACTCATTACATAGTTGATAAGTCTTTCTAGTTAGGTGTAATTTGGGTCTGTAACAGTCATATATGTATGCGATTTCTTTTGGACGCATATAGATCAGAAGAGGAAGAAGAGGTGATGGCAAATCACGAAGAGGCGATGGCCAATGATCCTGATGTGAATCTAAGTGATGAATGAGTGAATAATAATTACTAGGTTTGTCTCTTTTTTAGATTCCGAACTTGCAGGTTTTGTAACTCATGTTTGATGGTTACAATATTTTATTTTATATAGATTATTATTAGAATTATATCCAAAGACCATTTCCCTCAGAACAATGCATTAAATAAGATGATTATTACTCAGAACAATGCATCCAATCACTTTCTGTGTTTGTTGCTTTTTGTAAGAAATGAGCTTAAGCTTCTTAAAATTGAGCAATCTGATGAACAATTGCTAACATTGAAAAAAAAAGAAATGCAACTCTCTGTCTATTAGGATAATAGTTTTTTGTATATTATGTAAAAAAGTTGTTGTTTTGTACAGTTTAATATTTTTATTAAATGTTAAATAGATAAAGTAAGAAATATTTTTTAGTAAAATTTGATTTTTCACAATATAAAAACAAAGTGTAGAACACATATTTTAATTTTAATATTCTCTGAAAATGATTACTAGAGTTCTTTTCAAACTTAACTCAAATAAGATTTCTGATCTTGATGGTTTCTATTCAGGGTTGTACCAAGCAGTTTGAAATATCTTCGGATCAGAAGTTACAAACCGATATCTCATTTCTTCCCTTCAGCTTACATGCCTTTTTTTGACAAACTCTACAATTCTTGCTTTGGTTTTCAAACACCCAGTGCCTAAAAAATAACTGATAACAGGCCAATTTTCTATTTAAATACCTTGTACAAAGTCATCTCAAGGCCTTTGATAGGTCGGCTGAAGCCCTTGCTCCCTACGCTCATCCTCCCTAATCAAACAATTTTCGTCAAAGATCGATTACTTGTGAATTAATGAATGGATATCACAAGATAGAGGACCCAAATTTTTTTCCATAAAAGTTGATATTGCACAGACCTTTGATAGTGTTTTCTGGAAGTTCCTCTTCAACTTTCTTCAAGGATTATCGCTGCCTCAACAATATATCAAGTGGCTCAAGACTTGTATCTGCACAACAAACTTTACAGATGATTATAATAGCACAGTCCAATAATATTTTAAAGGCAAGAGATGGTTAAGGCAAGGTGACCCTCTCTCTCCCTCCATAGTTGTCATTTCTATGAATGTTCTTTCTCTAATGTTGAACAAGACAAATGAAGAGGAAATGTTTACCATTCATCAACATTGCGCTGCTTCAAAGCTCACGAATCTCTGCTTTGCTGACGATTTTTTGATTTTCATGGAGAAATCCCTTTGCTCAGTTCAAAATGTTATCCATGTTCTCTATGAGCAGGGCTGGCCCTGACCTAAAACCCGTAAAGCAAGGGTTTTAGTCGCCAAATTATATCAATAATTTTGGGACATCAAATTTAATAAAATCTTTTTGGTGCAATGGTTTTAGTTATTTTTTATGGTTCATATGGTGCTGAGTTCGAATACCCAAAATGGCATCCTTTTTTCGATGGGCTTTAAGTGTTATTTCACAACGGGCCGACACTGTCCCTGAGTTTGAGCTTCGGTCAGCTTTTGCTGTTTGTGTCAAAAAAATTGAGCTTCTTTGATTCCAGGCTTTCATAATTCGAATGTGACCTCATTAAATTCACCACTGGCATGCCCCAAGAAACTCCCCCAGTTTAATATCTTGGCATCCTTTTATACATAAAAGCTAACTATCACCAATTGTGAACCGATTATTCAACAAGTAAAGAGCCGGATTACCTTGTGGAGTGCCAAGTCTCTGTCCTTATCTGGAAGACTCCTCCTTATCAAGACAGTGGTTGCTGGCATATCCAATTTCTGGTGCTCCTTCTTCTTATTTTTTTTATAAATAACTTACTTTTTTTTAAATAACTTGCAAGTGGCACGGAGCATATTACATAACTCACAAGGGCAACAAAAGCATAGAAACAATAAGCCAAAGAAAGAATTAGCACTAAATAACTAAGAGAACTAATGAGGCTGGAAAAACGTAAACCACATTGTGAGAAGAGAGGCCGAAGAAGAATAAACCCGCTGAGCTCGAGAAAGAGGGTCCAAACGACATCTAAGAAGTTTTGAGATTTCTTTGATGATAATTTTTGCTGTACGATATGTGCTTGTATGAAGGCATGAGTTCATTTTCTTCTAGATGGCATATAATGTAGCATGGAAGACGATTTTAAAGACAAGGGCTACATTTTCCTCGCTACACGGATCCTTCATCTATCTTAGTACATCCTCAAAGAGATAAGGTGGAGTAAGATGAGCTTTTGAATAGAAGAAGGACCAGACCTCAGAGCTAAACTTGTAATCGAAGAAAAGGTGTTGTCGAGATTCCAGATGTCCATTGCAAAGGAGACAGATATTAGGCACGTCCATACCCCAATTAATCAAATGACCCTTAGTGATCAATCGGATGCCAATCCACATGAACTGAGGGAGGATGAAGGGCAAGTCACATTTCTGTGGTGGAGAAGGATATTGTAGGAGGCGCTATCCCGATTTCTATGAAAACACATCATCCGCTTCTGAGGAAGATATGTGAATCGGGCTTGGTAGGCAATCCTTAAGAAGTATAATCACTGGATTTCTTCTTCTGGAGGTTGCTATCCACCAACTAACGACTGTGTCAGCAGAAAAAACTGTTATTCGAGGACCCTGGTTTCCCGTGATGTCAATAAGGGGACCTAAGGCCGTCCAGTTATCGTATCAGAAACCGGCAGAGATTCTGGCTTTTCCAAATCCAACTGCCTGATATCCTTGCATCAAGATCCCAGAATATAAAATCACCTATTCTGTTTTTTCGAACCCAAGACACCCACAGAGATCCTCCGGAGGTAAAAATTAACTAAATCAGCTTAAAACTAAGAACCTTATTCTACTATGCAATTCTTCTTAATCCCAAGTCACCACATTCTTTAGGGGTGCATACCAATTTCCAGCTTATCCTTGCACTTTTGGCTGATTTCAGAGCTCCACTCCATAAGAAAGCACAGCAGATCCGCTCTAATTTTTTGGCCCATTGATTTGGTAGGATAAATAGAGAAGCCCAGAAAGTGATGGTTAGGTAGATTACTGACTGAAGCAGCTGAATCCTTCCCGCAAAAGACATACGTCTAACAGTCCAAGAAGAAAACCTTTTCAAGAGCTTGTCAATAAGAGGCTGAAAGTCCAGTGTCTTCATCTTTTTTGAAGATAACAAAACTCCCAAATACTTGACTGGAAGGGCACCCGTAGATACACCATGGAGAACAGCTAATTCTTGAGTTCTCCCTACATTTCCTCCATATAGCATTAGCTCTGATTTCTGTCGGTTTAAACCCAAGCCAGAGGCCACTTTAAAACCATCCAAGATAAAGAGAATACCTAGGAGTAAATTAGGAGAACCATAAAAAAAGATCAGGACATCGTCCGCAAAGCTGAGATGAGTGATTAGAGGTTCTCCATATAGGGGTGATCTCAAACTCTCCATTCAAAGCCCCTGCATCCAAACATTTTGACAAAACATCCATCACCAGGACAAAGAGAAGGAAAGAAATGAGATCTCCTTGCCTTAAAAATTTTCTAGCATGGAAGAATCCTGTGAGCTCTCCACTTATTACGACATTGTAGGAAGGAGTGGAAATGTATTATGTGATCCAATCCACAAATAGAGGCGGTGAGTCAATAGATTTAAGGATATTCTGGAGGAACTCCTAGTTAAGGTTGTCATAAGATTTAGAGAGATCTATTTTTAAGAACCCTTTTTCTGTTTCGCCAGGAATATGAAAGACATCCACCAATTTTGACGCCAACATAATGTTTTCGAGAAGGAGCCGACCATTTAAAAATCCCACTTGGTTTCCTTAATGGCTTCAGAGATAAACAACTTCATACGATTCTTAAGGATCCGAGCTATAATCTTGTAAACTGTGGAGCAGAGAGATATCAGCCTTAACTGATCAAGCTTATCTGCTCCATTGGCTTGTGATGTTGAAAATTTTCAGCTGGAAGAGAAGAATTCTTTCACTGCTTTGATCGTGTCTGCCCCTACAATAGTCCAAGCATCCATGAAGAATTCCTTCGGGAAACCTTCGGAACCCGCTGCTTTGTTTCTCGGCATACTTCTGAGTGTCTGAATAATCTCTTCTTCAGTTGGCAAAGCAGCCAACAGATTACCAATAGCTGAAGGACATCTGTATGAGAGAATCTTTTTAAAATGAGCGACTGAGAGAGGAATACATCTGCACTTTGGGTACCCAACAATTCGCGGAAATACAAAATAGTGAGGTCCTTGACTTGAGCCATGCCACTAATTCGTTCCTCTGATGCAAGTCGTAGATATCTGATGGCGTTCTTTGCCTGGTGAGCCAACACTCTGTTGTGGAAAAAGAAGTATCGGCGTCTCCATCCTTTAACCATCTGATTCTTGATGTTTGCTTGGAGAAAGTCTCTTGTGCCTTAGCGAAAAAGTTCAATTTCTGTCTTGCATCAAACTCTTCTCTAAACAGCAAATATTTTGAAGGATTGAAAAGCAGGTTCGCTTGAATCGAATGGAGTCGCTCAAGTGCTTCAGAGGTATGTTGCTGGATATTTTGAAAACCTTCCCTATTCAACTTGTGACAAGCCTTCCTCACCGCTTTGAGCTTCTACCCTAAGGTAAACATAGCCGACCCTACACCAACTTGCTTGTTCCACGCCTCCAAAATAGACTCTTGAAAGCACAAATGGGTCATTAAGAAAGAGAAGTACTTGAAGCTAACTTTTCGTGTCTTCACCGACACATCTAAATTAATCAGGCATGGCGCATGACCAGAGTCTCCAGAAAGGTAGAAAACTGCATTAGAATCTGGGAAAGAAGAGAGCCATTTTTCATTAACCAAGTCCCTATCCAGCTTCCGCAAGATCGGATCCTCTTGTCTCCCATTTGACCAAGAGTAGAAGACCCCACAATTTGGAAGATCACTTAGCTCATTCGTCTCCAAACAATACTTGAAATCAGCCACCACACATAGACAGAGGATAAGGTCTCATACTATGATGCTCATTAGCTAGAAGAATTTTGTTAAAATCTCCGGCTAGCAAACACGGCACTGAGCTCGCCACAGAATCCCTGAAAATATCTGAAATCTCCTCCCAAAGCAGCCTTCTTTGAACCTCTGTATTCTGAGCATAGATAAACATAACTGAGAAGGATTCCTTCGTGAAAGGGTTGAAGACCCCACACAATATCAACTGTGCAGATATTTTGAGGACAATAAGTGAGATTGAAGGACCCCAAACCACCCAAACTCTTCATTTTTCAGAATGTGAGTAATTGTTATCACCCCTCCAACCCAGAAAGGTAGCACGGATAATCCCCTCTGAGCAATCCTCATTCACACGGGTTTCCAGAATACCTCCAACTAACGGTTTATTCACACTAACCCAATTTCTCACAACTCTCTGACGATTAAAACTATTAAGACCTTTAACATTCCAAAAAGTGATGCTCCTTTTTCATTCTCCCTAGAGCTGCAATTAACCAAATTAATTCCTTATTTAGTGTGTTCTTATGGAAAGAAAATGCTGAGGGATACCATTCAGTAAAAGTTGCTTAGCATACGATTACAAAGCCAAAAAATAAAGGAGGATTGGGTATTAAAGATCTTACAATTTGGAATCGTACATGTTGCCTCAAACTAATCTGGCTTATCTTTTTCCAATCAGGCTCAATGTGGGTAGCTTAGTATAGGACAGAGATGCTTCAAGGGTGCTTCAACATCTTCTGGACTTAATCTTCCGCTCCCTTATTTCGCACTTACTCTTCCCTCAAACCCTCCCCACTTCTGCTGTAATCCCCTCCTTCTTCGTCTCCTCTGTATGAAGCTTCCTTATGAGTTACTGAACATGGAGCAAAGTTTAGATTTTTGTAATTTGAATTTTTTTTTTCGAATTTGATTGTTTTGAGCTTTGATTTTGTGATTGGGGAGTAACGCCCATATGAAATTTACTCTTCTTCTTCTTAGGAGCTCGATTTCGTTTTTTTTTTGGTGTTGTTTCGTCATCGAAAGGAATATGTTTCATGACTTGTTCAAGGTTCTTCCTGATTGTGAAACTATCTTTGTGTTTGTATTTGATAAAATAATAAAAGGTACTCTGAGAGAACACTGTCTTGGAGATCGAAAGGCTGTGAAGGGAATCACTACGGATTCTAAGAAAGTTAAGAAGCCAAGTGATGCTCTCAGTGACTAAGATCTCTCTCATTTGCTCTGGTGGAAAGAGGTAAGAAGTTTCAAATTCTTATAGAAAAAGAGTTTTTCACAACTGTTGATGATAGAAGTTGACTGATGCATCTAATCATGATTTGTCTTTGTTGAACATGATAGGACCCAAAATAGGTCTATCAAGTAGAATAAGAAGAATATAGAAATAAGAAGAAAGGGGTTGAGAATCAGAAGAAATTAGAGAAGAGATTCAGAAGAATAGAAGAAGAGAAGAAGAAGAGAGGAAGAAGACAATAGAGAGAAGATAGAGAAATATGTTTTTTATTGATATTTCGATAATTCGTTTACAAAGACAAGCCGAAGTCAAATACTAGTCGAACTACTAAAGATAAATGGACTTAAAAGTATAATTTATGAAGAAACCCAACACAGGCCCAATAACCAATCTTGGTTCGTATCAATGCTCCCCGATGAAGAATTATCTTGTCCTCAAGATAGTAATCGATACTCGACCAGCTCTTCATTTTGTCTAGAACTGTTCTGCGGTGGTCGTCTTCTCCCATCATATAGCTACAAGATTGAAGCCGAACGAACTCTCTTTTTTTTGTGTGTACCCCCCAACGGATAGCTTCCGTCAATTCATCACATAGCCACAAAATTG